AAGAAATCTCAGGAAGCCATGATTGCTTATGAGAATAAGAAATGCCGACAATCCACATTTCAGGTAGGGGAACGTGTTTGGGTCAAGGCCAGTGAGTTGGGACTGGAGTTTGCCATCTCTACGAAACTAATGCCTCAGTATTTCGGTCCCTGGGAAGTCTTAGACATTGTAGATAATGATTTGGATGGTCCCTCGTACGTCATTCGTATCCCTGGTCACCTACGCACTTACCCAGTTTTTCACGCCTCCAAGCTTGCACCTTTCGCTAAGACAGCATAGTTCCCATCACGAAGATCTATGCTGCCCCCAACCATGGATGGCCACGTGGACGTCGACGAAATCCTAGACCACAGAGACACGCCTGTTCCCAAGCCACCCGGCAAGGGTAGACCTCCTAAACCGACAAGGGAGTACAGAGTGCATTTCAGGCATCATACAGATCCTAAGGAAGATGGATGGATTTCAAGAGAGAAACTTGTCAAGACAGCTCCTCAGATCGTGGCATGAACCATCTCAGCAGATTTTCAAAGCTAAGGGAGATGGAATGTGAGGAACAAGCCCTCAAGGGGCACTATCAGACATCACATGTTCTGGGCTAAGGGTCTCAGCAAGCCGAGTGCCCGCCCTAAGTGAAGGCGGGCCTGAATATTCGTCCAAGGCCAAAATTCGGCATTTCCATATGTGGGTATTCAGGCTCTTGCAGCACGCCAGTTGGTTGGGTAGACATGTGAGCCTCACTAAGCTGCGACATACAGTAGGCCCAGGCCTTGATAGTTGCGCCTGGGCACATACACACAAAACAGGGCCGATACATTGGGAAGCAGGCCATCGGCCTTTGGAAAAGCAGTATTGTCGATGCACCTGCCTGAGAGCCCCACACGGATGCAGCAAACAGCCCAAGTCCGGAGACTCAGGCCGTGCCCAACTGAAAAGGGCCCAGATCCTCAACTGTAGTCTCGGGCCTGGGCGCAGGGTCTGAGGCCCAACCGGAAGCTACTGGAAGTTTCCAGCCAGGCCACACGCAGCATCCAGGACGCTGCCACTTCGATAAAAGAAGTGAAGCAGCCTAGGCTAGGCATTCTGGCCAGTGCAGGCAATGCTGAAGTGCTACTGCGCTGTTGCTTGGTCTTGCACTGCTACCAAAGGCGCTGACGGGGCCCGTAGTGGTGAGGTGGGGCGCTGCTGGGCAGCGGGGCGCAGGCAGCCATAGCCGGGCTGCTGGGCGCCAGGGGGTAGGAGGGCGATCAGGTGGTCTTCAGGGAAGGAGGGGAGTGTGGGTAATCAAGGTCTAATTGAGGGTGACAAGATACGTACATGGTGCATGAAGAGAGGTCGACTATGGTGTTGACCGTCATGTACATTGGTCTTCGAGAGTCGAAGTGAGCTTGTTGCGTGAACCAGTTGTAGGTAGGATAGTCGGGTAGAGTAGGCTGGGCACTGGGCGTGAGACAAAGAGGAGCGACTTTGGATAAGTTGGTGTGGCCTATGGGCTTGAACATTGGCTCATTACTTCATTGTATTGCTCTATATGGATGGTTTCTCGGTGCATTTTGTACTACCTGGACATCTGTGTGATTTCACAACTTGGTTTTTTGTATATCGTTCACACTCATATTCCTTGCAGTTTGGAATTTGCAAAATTATTCCCTTTTCTAATATATCTCAAACTTTTTCGACATTTCCTTTTCGAAATTCAAATACTTTTAATTAATTCTTTTTGCAATTTTTTTTTCAAAATTAATTAATTACTTTTCGACACTTCTTTTTCGTAATTCAAAATTACTTTTCAATACAAGGCAAGTGCCCTCACATCATTATCATCATCATCCTTCGCCCTTCCTTGACTTAACACTCACACCTGTCCTCTCTTGCACCCGAAGACCACCCCTGCGCCTCACTGTGTATCCAAGCCCAGCCTGCTATGGAGGCTGGCTATGGCGCTGCCCTCAGCAGCGCCCTGCTCCCACACACGACCGCACGTGCGCAGCCTCTTGCTCCAATGTCGGCAGCCAGCCCGCGAGCACTTGCTCCAGCAGCGCTGCCGCCAGCCAACAAGTGACCGAATGAGGCTGCCAGCCCTGAGCTCTTTCCTTTATGGAAAGAACTGGCCTGCTCGCGCAGCCTGGCTGCACTGGCCTGGGCCCAGCAGCTTCCGGAAGGCCCCAGGAGGCTGCCTGTGTACAGCAGCTACTGGGCTGCTGGGCCTCGTTCGGTTGGGCGCCCAACTGTCTCTGTATGAGGCTGCGAATCACGCCCAGGGCCTGCATTCTTTGGAAAAGGCCCGGAAGGCCGTGGAAATGTCTTTGTTGCTCGGCCTGAGTTTCACTCAACCAACTGGCGCGTCGCAACTGCCTGGACCCCAAATATGAAATTGACAGTCGAGGGCCTCTTGTGATATGTCAGGCCCGCCTTCACTTAGGGCGGGCACCTCCGCCTTCACTTCGGGCGGGCAATGCTGCAAACAGGGCCCCATAGGCCTACCGAGGACCCTCATCCTCGCATTCCCTCCTCCTTTACTTTGTGAGTCCTCTGAGAAGTCTCTTATTCTGCAAGCATCTTCCCCTTGAGTGCTCTTTCGTAGCCTGCAATCACTTGACGTGCTGTTCTCACGAGTTCTTCTCGTGTGAACCAGCGATCCTCCTTAGGATACATATGATGTCTGAAGCTCACACGGTACTGCATTCTCGGTTTAGGAGGGCGCCCTCTGCCTGATGGTCGAGGAACAGGCATCACTCGATGCTCAACGATCTGGTCGATGTCCACCTCGCCATCCATGGTTGGGGGCAGCATTGATTTTCTTGAAGGGAACTGCTCTGTAGCAGCGAAAGGTGCCAACTTGGAAGCATGGAAAACAGGGTATGTCCGTAAGTGAGGTGGAATGCGAATCACGTATGAAGGCCCATCCGGTTATCCCCTACAATATCTAGTATCTCCCAGGGCCCAAAGTACTGTGGCATTATCTTGTGGGATATACCTAACTCCTGACCTAGCTCAGCAGACTTAACCCAGACTCTGTCTCCTACCTGAAAGTTAGAGGGCCGTCTATGCTTATTCTCATATGCAATCATAGCTTCCAGTGATTTTCTAATATGTTCAACGGCCTGCTGCAGCATTTGCTCATAGTTTACAGCAAACTCTATGCTGCCTGGTGCTGCAGTGGGTTCTCTTTCCGGTAGTAGAAAGTCAAGGGCAGTTCGAGGCCTCCAACCAAGATGCAGTTGGCTGGGAGGCATACCTGTAGTACTATGCACAGCATTATTGTCCAGGTTGGCAATGAGTGGTAATTTCTCGTCCCAGCCGTCCTGACTTGGCTTGATATAGTGCCTAACCAGGTGTGGTACTACTCGGTTCATCTGTTTTGCCTGGCCATTTGACTCAGGATGATTCCCTGACGTCATCTGGAGCTTTGTCCCCATTCGTTCAGCAGTCGATTGCCACAGTTCACTTGTGAATCTTACATCTCTGTCACTGACTATAGATGTAGGTAGACCGAAATCCCTTACCCAGTTATCCATGAAGAGTTTAATGACATAGTCAGTTTTAGCACTTTCAGGCATAGCGATTAGTCTGGCATACTTAGAAAACGGTCCACTATAACGAAGATGCGTCTCTTTCCAGACCTGCTGGTCACAAGGGTGTCCATAAAGTCCATAGACACACTTTGACCTGGTCCTTCAGGAATCGGCAAGGGCTTGATCAGCCCAAGCAGTGCCTAAGTCTTTGGTTTGTTCCTTTGACAAACCGGGCAGGTTTCAACATAGTGTTTTGCATCTAACATCATAGAGGGCCACCAGAATCTTTGTACTAAGTACGCTGATGTCTTCTTGTATCCAAAATGACCAGCTGCATCATGTCATTCTCCTAAAAATAAACTACGCAAAGACTCACTACTGGGAACACACAATCTTTTATTCCCTGCCTTCTCAAGAAACAACAAGCCGTCTACCATCGTAAATTCGTCCAAAGTCTTTTTGTCCTTTGCTTGGAATCTACGGATGATCTCAGACATAACTGGATCTTGCTGATAGGCATCCACCAATGATCGAGTTAAGTCGCTAAATATGCCAAATTCAGTTACTAGTGCGCCCAGATAATCCGCCCGGCGAGATAACGCATCAACACTTTGCTGTACTCTCCCTTGATTGGATCAAGTTGATAGTCATACATGTCTATCACTTGTATCCAGCGCTTGAGTGCGTCAGAGAGTATTGGCTGAGTCTTGATCCAGCGCAAGGTCTCATGGTCAGATCTTACATAGAAGAATCTGCAAAGGAGATAGTGTCTCCAGTGTACCAGCGCTCTATATAGGGCGTACAGCTCGCGCTCATAAGTGGACTTAGCTAGTTTTGGGATGGCATCTTTTTGCTCATATACTCGATAGGTCTCAACTTGGGCCCCTCCTTTTGCGCAAGGATCGCGCCTATGCCATATTGGTTGGCGTCTGTGGTCACAACAAATGGTCAGGGGAACTATGACCATGACTTGGCTCTTACCATGTCTGCTCTTGACTTGGGTGTCCATGAAGTCTATGGACACTGAATCTCCCGGCTGATCCGGAATAGGCAAGGGTCTGAGAAGACCTAGTGACGCGCGTGTAGTAGACTTATTTCTTTGGCACACTTTACAACTGCAGACATACTCTATGCAGTCATTCTTCATTCCTGGCGAGGTGTATGCACGCATTAGGTTGGCTAAAGTCTTTTGCCAACCGAAATGTCCCTCAGTATCGTGGCATTCCCCTAGGATCAGACTACGAATCTCTTCGTTGTTGGGAACGCACAGGCGGTCAAATATGTTAGTCTTCTCAAACAGCAACCCGTCTGTAGTGCGGTAATCTAGCTCAGTCTCTGGGGACTCTCTAACTCTCTTTAGGAGGACGCTATAGAGAGGGTCCTGCGCATACGCTTGCTTCACTTAGGTCTCTCCCTATGTCCAGATAGTGTACTATGGCTCCAAAGTAGTCTGATCTCCTACTCAGAGCGTCCGCAACTACGTTGTACTTGCCCTTTACTGGTTTGAGCTCAAAGTCGTACTGGTCTATCTCAGCGGCCCACCTAGTTAGCTTAGGTGTCATCTTGGCCTGGGTCTTTAACCATCTAAGGGTCTCATGATCAGAATACACTTTGAAGTGCCTCCCAAGCAGGTAATGCTTCCAGTGGTCTAGAGCCTGCCTGAGAGCGTAGAGTTCTCTCTCGTACGTCGAGGTGGTTACCTTCTCTGAGGGCATCCTCGCGGACAGGAACTCTACGGGTCTATAGCCATTGCCGTCATCCTGCTGCAACACGGCGCCTATCCCATACTGACTTGCGTCCGTGGTGACGACAAATGGCAAGGACGGATCTGCTACTTTGAGGACAGGGTACTCTATTAGTGCGCGCTTCAATCTCTTTAGCGCAGACGTACAGTCTTTGTCCCATTGCCAGATTGCCTCTTTCTTAAGCAACCTGCGCAGGGGAGCGGCGATGGTAGAAAAGTTCCTCACGAACTTTCTATAGTAATTAGCTAGGCCTAGGAACGACCGCAACTCTGTCAATGTGCGGGGCATCGGCCAGTCTCTAATCGCCGCTATCTTGTTGTCCTCTAGCTTAATGCCATCTCCGTCTAATACGTGGCCCAAGTACAGGACTTGTGTCTTGGCCCACTCGCACTTCTTCGCGTTGAGCTTGAAGTTTGACTCTCTCAACTTCTCCAAGACCTGCCTCAGATGACCCTGGTGCTCCTGGAGGGTCTTACTAAAAACTAGGATATCATATAGATAAACTACTACAAACTTATCTAACCATGGTCTGAACAAATCATTCATACAACGCTGAAAAGAGGGTGGCGCGTTGGTTAGTCCAAAGGGCACCACTATAAACTAGTGCCCATATCTAGTCCGGAACGCAGTCTTGTACTGGTCATTAAGATGGACCTCTATCTGATGATAACCGGACTTCAAGTCTATCTTCGAGAAATACTTACAACCCTGCACCCGATCTAAAAGATCGTCTATTTTGGGCAGTGGTTCAACATTCTTCACGGTAATCGTATTCAAACCCCTGTAGTCTATACACATTCTCAACTCTCCTTCCTTCTTTGGGACAAACAGGACTGGTGCTCCAAAAGGAGACGAACTAGGCCTAATCCAACCTTTCTCAAGGAGTTCGTCTAACTGCTTACGAAGCTCCTCTAACTCTCTAGGGGACATCCTGTAAACTGCACCCTTAGGAGTTCTACTGCCAGGCTCTATCTCTATCCTGTGTTGAATGGGTCGCGGCACTACTCCTGTCGGCGACTCAGTCAAATCTTTGAACTCTTCGAACAGCTTGGCAATCGTTGGATCTGTGAAACTATCCTTTTCCTTGGCCTCAGTGACAGGTCTAACATAAACTACAAAGACCTGGTCCTCTAACTACTCCTTCTTCACTAGTCGCGCGAACGCGGGAGCACTGAGATAGCAATGTGCCAAGGTGTTGTCTACACCTGACACACGAAACAGGCGGGTTGTCTTTACCTCACCTGATGGACTAGGGAGTCTACACTCATGCTCTCTCAAATGGAGTGTGGCCCCTGCTGCCTCTCCCCAATCCATTCCCAATACAATGTCGAAGGAAAGGTCATCCTGTATGAGGAGAGTCAGGGAATGGAGAACTGTTTCAACCTTCCCATCCTTCTCTAGGCGAAAGTACCCCTGGACTCCCTCTACACAGTCCTCAACACGCATTGTGCGGTTGTCTGCGAGGACACTGACTATGGGGTCTGCTAATTTTTGGACTTTTAATCCTAGCCTCAACTTCTTCAGCGCTCTGCGGCTAATATAGCTGCGGGTGGCCCCTACTCTACTTCCAAACACCTCTACGTCTACCAAGATCAGTTGTCCTTTGCTCTCTTTCTTCATTTTGGCCCAGGCTGGCATCCTCTCCTTTAACTCTTCTGCCACACTTGTGAGGGACGTGCCTAAAGAGACGCTAACACAAGCAGTCTCTGGACAACTAACTAGGCATGGGCCTGCAACCTCTGCCATGGGCTCATGTGGTTTGGGAGTTTCCTGTTCGCGCGCGCTCGCTTTCCTACATGGCCCTGAAGTAGGGGCAGTTGCAACCCCTACTGGCGACTGCCTTTTGACTGCTGGGCAGCCCAACGGGCCTGTCTATACTTAGGACAAAATTTAATGACATGGGCCGTGTCACCACAGAATATGCACAGACCCTGGTCCACGCGCTCCTGCCATATGCATTGGTCCAAGCCCAAATCTTCCCAAGGCCTGCCCTGTGGCAAGCCTGGGTGCCAGCCTCCTTGAGGTGGCCTTCCACCCCGTCGCTGTGGGGACCGATTACCCTGGCGATTTGGCAGGGGACCTTGACCCCTACCTCCCACTTGGCAGTTTCCTTGGCCACCAACCTGCTGTGCGCCCGGTCCTCGGCCTCCCAAGGCCTGACCCCTTTGGCCCTGGCCTCCTCCTCTACCTTGCGGCCTCCCTCCGACCGCGACAGCATCATAAGACCTCCCCTGCCCCATACTACTGTCCTCCTCCTCTAGGCCCCACTCAATCTGACTACATGGGACCTCGTCAGTACCACCTCCTTCTAAGGTAAGGATCATGTGATCCTTGGCCCTCACCTAGCCTGAGATGGTACGACCCTTCCACCTTTTCCCCTTATCCAGGTCCTTATGCCAGAAGGTGGTACCTGCCATGGACCTCGACTCATACAGGACGACTCCTCTACTCAATGCATCATAAGTGATGCCGGCCTGTTGAGACTTGTCAAAGAAATGCCCTCTCAGGGGCTCTGGCATGGCACGATAAAATAATTGGATCAACTAGGTCTCAGTGACCCTATGGTCTGGGACGGCTACCAAGTCGTCCATGGTACCCTTGAGTGCCCTGGCACTCCTCCACTGTCGTGAGTGAATCTTTGCAGCTTATCAGAGGCGCGACCGCCTCTCGTTGGGTCAGCAAATCGCTCCTTCAGGAGCTTGAGGAATTGAGGAAGGGGGGTAACTTTAGAGTAAGCAATCAGGTTGTTCTCACAACCGGCTGCGTGCGCAAGGGACCTAGCGAAACTGTCCGCTTCATCTTTGAGGGCCTGGAAATCGACGAGGACATGCTCCTCTATCAGGATGTGCTGTAGATATATATAACTATTGACACTGGCTTCCCAGTTGTCAAAGTTCTCTTCCTTCTTCCCTCCATAAGCATCCGGGAATTTGAGCTTGACTGGGTCCTTGCGTGGTGTGGCCTCACCCTCTACAACGGCTATTGCTTTGGCACCTTCAATGGCGCCTTCACAGAACTTTCCTAAGTTGTCCCTCAACTGCTTTACTCCGCCCCCAATGTGGGTGACGATCTCGCACGCAAACTCCCTAAACCTTGACCACATGGCACTCAAGGCTACATCCTGGCTCCAACTGGCCTGGCGCTCCTCTATCCAG